GAGGAGAGCCTGATCTGGTTTTGCTCATAGTTGTCTCCTAAGAGCTGATTTCAGGGCCTGGAGTCACACCCTTTTAAGATGTTCTAGGAAGAAACGGATTTGCCATGACTTGTGAAGACAGAAGTTCATCCCTGGATTTCTCTTTAAGGCTTTCTAACTACCATCACGGGTGCTGCTGAGAGACGGTGAGCTCTTTTGGCCAAGGTGCCAGCCTGAGCGAGGAGACAGCATGTGGCTGGATAGCTATGAAAACTTTCCAGCATTGGAGGAGTTGTTCTTGCAGGCAGTGGTCCAGAGAGGCAACACCTCCTTAGTTTCTCTAGAGCAGAGATCCTTGACGCCTACAAGTCCTGCAGAATGCTTTGGAAGATCACTTCCTTGAGACATCCTCCAACTGGAAATGAGAATTCATGATCTTTTTCTGGCTGACACAGACAGAAACATCAGGGATGCCGACCTGACCAAGGTTTCTGGCCAACAAAGGAAATGACTCAAGGTCAATTTAACCCAAAGAGTCTTAGAGAATTTTGACCCAAGCCCACTCTAGCCAGACAAGATGAATTACAGGAGCTTGAGTTTTGCTTCGTACTTCGGTGACTTTTAACACATGTTTCTATCACATTAGAAAAAATCAAATCAATTACATATAGATTAGATATATGTGTGTTGCTATGTCAAAGACCATTTGCCAGTCCTCATCGTTGTAGTTTCTTATATTACATGAGCACAAAATCATTAGTGTTGTATGCATGGGTGTGTTTTTCTTCAAAGGGGACCCATAGTTTTGAGAAGCCTCCTAAAGAGGTCCTGATTTACAGTGTAGGAATCAGCAAACTATATATTAGGGCCTCTTTGGGTTCTAAAATCACATAGATCTTAAAGTCTAATGTTAAATTGCAACATTATTGGAAAATTTAGTGAAACTCTGGATCCCTTGCATTCACGATGTCAAATATTTATCTGAAAAGAAAATTTCAGTTTTTATTCAGATATTTGGAGTGCTGTCATAGAGTCAAAGAACTGAGGCATTCATAACGTTAACTCACACATTTGTATAACCGGTGCTGGATCCCTACTCTTCCCTGTGCCTTAGTGTATACCAAGGTCAGCCCAGCTGAAGGCTGTCGGGAACCCACCACCACGGGACAGGGGAAGAGGCTGTGAACAATTCATAATTCTCAGTCAAGAGCTAATCCGTCTCCTTACTCACAAAGATGAAATCACCCTGTTTATAACAACCAAAACTTGGTATGAGCTCAGTTACTCACCCCTAAAGTCCCCACTTAGCTCACCTCTGGAAAGTAGAGAAGAGAAGGTAGGTGGAAATGTGTCCTTCCCCACACAAAAGCTGCCCTATTTATCTGAACACCTGCATAGGACAGGAAGAGGTCTGTAGAAGAGCCTAGACCCACACCCAGCCCTGTCCAGAACCATATGAATGGCTGCTCCTCAGCTGAACCCCCCCACCCCAGTGCTTGGCTATAGGGAGTTCACACTGCAAACTGCATGATAAAAGACAGAGAACTCAGAGTCTTCAAACACTCCAAGGAGTTTTAATCGGAGACTCCTAAGAAGTTGCTAATCTTTGTTCCTTTTTGGTATTTCACGAAAGCCATAAGAATGAACTTTAAAACCATACGGACTAAAACTCTGTTTCCACATGGTGTCTGACTTATCCTCCCTTTCCCCCCTCATTTTTCCTCCTCCTCCATCCTTCTCTGTTTTGGGTTGCTCTTACTATGAAGCGTCTATCGGAGCCTCTTCCTTTTCCCCCTCAATAAAATTTCTTTGATCTCAAACCAAAGGGACGGAATAGGGGATAAAGTTATCAGACGACACACACACAGCTCTTATCCTTTGCAGAACAGTGCTAGGCCCCCAGTTTACTGTTCCTGGATGATTTCTTTGGGCTTCCCAAAGAAATATTTGATTTAGGGCCGGGGATCACCTCCCATGGTACACTTCTCCCTGCACAGATCAATAGCACCATTGGGTGGGGTAATAAAGGGTCTGTTTACAATATTAAATTTCTCGAGACTTGAGGTGGGCTATTTTGGACTCTTCACCACTGATGAATTTTGCCATCTGCTGCTTTATCTACCTGACAGGAAAACTTGAACTACTGCCATTTCTAAATTGCACTTCTAAATATTGACTTCACGGCGAGACTCGAAGTGTCATAACACAGCTCACTGGAGCAATGAAGATTGTCCAGGCCTTGTCCAGAGGCCTGTACAATGTCCTGTGGGAAGTGGAGAAGGAAGAGGAGGATTTGGGAAGAAAAATAAAATCAAGTCATGTTTAGAAGAAATGCCACTGCACTTCAGTTAATCTTGTAGAAACAAATGAACGCTCACTGGGCTGTTGGCTGTGCAGAGGGGCTGGAGGGGACCCGGGTGGAGGGAGAAAGGATAGCAGTGACTGTTAATCCCCCCTCTGTCACTAGTAAGAACGGACGGTGCAAGAGGACTCCTGGCTGGGTCAGCGGGTGGGGCCTTCAGAGACACTTGGCTCTTGGAGAGCCTTTGTTGGGATGTCCAGCCTAGAAGGACCGGACAGTGTCTGAGAAATAAGACACTCATCCGATTTCGATCAAGATTTCAACGTGGCCAAATCTGTAGCTAATCTTCATTTAGGTCGCTGAGGAAATCCAAGGAGACTTTCTTTTTAGCTTCTTTCCTCCCAATAGCTAACACTATAAACTGATCATAAGGCGTATTTGTCACATCACATTAGCTGTTAAACTGTGACTCAACAGAAGTGATTGGATCTTTCTTACCCTTAAGGAGCTGTTTTGGAGGAAAACATGATATTTTACATGCAAATTAGCTTTGAGGGTTTTGTTTTGTTTTGTTTTGTTTTTTTAGATATTCAGAGATATAAAACTTCAAGTTGTTCATTATCCTGAAGGAGCCAGAGCCTCCAGGATGAGATAGAGAATAGTTCTCTATAATGCTGTACAGAGAGCTCTGAAATATGGCAGCCATCTCCCTTTTACTGCTATGAAAGGCCACTGGCAGGAGATCATGGGTAGAGGAGCAGCATGTAGGGAGCTGGGGAGAGATAATGAGGGATGTGCTCTTCAGAGCACAAAAAGCTCAAGTTCCAAGACATAGGAAATCAAATTCACCAGCTACCATGGAAGCTGACCCTTACAGAACTGGGCCAACTTGTGTCTTGATGGTCCTTAGATTTGTCTAAGGTGGTCCCTAAGTCAGAGTGTCCAATCTGTTCCTTCTCCTAGGCCCATGCACATGGGCCCTTGTACTTGTTAATAATGATTTCTGGGGCGCCTGGATGGCTCAGTGGGTTAAAGCCTCTGCCTTTGGCTCAGGTCGTGATCCCAAGGTCCTGGGATCCAGCCCCGAATCGGGCTCTCTGCTCAGTAGGGAGCCTGCTTCCTCCTCTCTCTCTGCCTGCCTCTCTGCCTACTTGTGATCTCTGTCTGTCAAATAAATAAATAAAATCTTTAAAAAAAATAAAAAATAAAATAAAAAAATAATGATTTCTGAGAATGAACTCAAAGTGTATTTTTTGGCTTGAGACCTCATCACATTGGGCTGATCCATAAGCCTCGCTCCTCTAGCAAGTCCGGTTAGCTTGGCCAGTACACGGACTTCTTTTCTTAATCTCATGTCCGGCCCAGAAAAGTTGAGTCTCCATTTAAGGTAACGAAGTCCCCTTAAAACCTTCCCTTGCTTGAAAGCTTCTCATGTCAGCTGAGGTAGCTGCTATGAGCAGAACCCCAGGTATCTTCTGAAGAAACTCCAGTCCTCTCTTTGAAAGTCCACCTGCCAGCAGAGCCAGCCTGGGTCTAATTGTTCTTCTGCCCAGTTTCTGTTTTATGCAGCCTGCTCCGGCCTTCGTGGGCTCACCTATGGATGCTAGTCTCTGCTCTGTGGCAGTTTTCCGGGCACTTACCCCAGCATGGCTGTGGGTCTGTTTTCCAGGGTCTCCATCTGTCTGTGTTCCGTGCTCCTCCAAGAGCTGGCATGGCCTTGAGTGCCCTGAGCAGCTCTCCACACGACCGCCTCCACCCAGCATCCTCCAAACTCCTGCTGAAGGCCCACGCCCTCAGTGTGGGCCATCTGTGATTCAGCCTCAGCTTACTCATCCTTCTCTCTGTTCTTCCCGACCCCACCTACCACTGTCCCCCACAACCCACCGTGCTCCCACAACTCTATCAGGCTGCTGCTGTCCTCCAACCCAGGCCAGTGAGCTTCCCCAGCTGCCTCTCCCCGTTAATCCCTTCATTTCTCCCAGGCCTCCCCTGATGTCTTCTTTCATCATGGCAATCAGCAGTATTACACCAAAAAGCGTCTACAGCCATGTACATCGGGAAGTCAAATTACCCACTTACCTAAAGAATGAATCTCACCAATGGGAAGACAATTGTAAATGGATTATTTTGTTAGCACTGAAACCTCTCATCCTTAGTGCAAGATTTTAACTGCCAAGATGAGAATATTCTGAAGACTTCTCACAGCAGCCAGGGTAGTTTGCATGATGACTTACCTCATTGCAGTAAGTAAAGTAATTTAGTTTCTCATTGATCTCTGATGTACGGGAGGAATATTAATACAAGGAGACTTCATTTAATGCAGCACCAAAAAGTTGTAAGTGCTTTGAATTGTCTTTTCAACATTGCAGGGGAGCTCAAAATGTATAGAAACAGTATGCCAAATTCTTTTGTAAAGCAGAGAAGCAACACATAATTTACCTCTTTTGACTATCCAAAATTTTGCACATGAAGAAGCGTGATCTACTACAACAATGTTGCCGAACCAAGGAAATCAGGAAATAGCATTGTGTCTGGTCAGATATTAGCTCAAAACAAAAGTTTAGAAAACATGCCCATAAGACATATTTCTTGTAAGGCTCCCACTTTTCAAACTCTGGCTTGGTCTTTGAACATGACAACTACATCATTTGTCTTAAAACACTCCATGGTGTTTGAGATTTGGAAGGCTGGAGGGACCTGGGTGTCAACACACACTCACCTGGCCAGTAGTACATGTAGACCTTCCTTTTGGCCTTGGTCAGAGTGACCCACAGAGGTTCTGATCCATTCCACCACAGAGGCATCAGGCTGTCTCTGTTGACACCAATGTCAAATGACTTGTTGGTGGTGGGGTCCCACATGTAGTTCCCAATCATCTGGTGGACCTCACAATGGCGGCCTACATTAATGAGAACACAAGGCCGTCAGTTCATTGTTCTGGTCTTTACATTCTTCATCTTTTTATAAAAGCCATTTTCTCTTTTCTGTTTATAAAAGCCACTCGTGCACAGTTAGGAAATACAGAACAGCATGAAGACTCACTTTTGATTTTTTTCTAAATCATAGAGGTTTCTTCTCTCTTAGATTGTACCACAAAGACAAATGAGAAGTCTAATAATTGGTTGAGGATGGGGTCATTTTGTGTGAAGTTAATTTCCCATCCTATTTTAAGTTATACTGAAGACGTAGTGCACAAAATTTGACCCATTGTTCATGGCTTGAAATCTAAATGTGAATCCATACGGAAATTGTAGCTTCCCATGGGGCTGGGTTGAGATCTTCACCCCAGAGCACCCCTTTGAAACCTCCTCCCACAAAGTCATGAATCTAGATGCTGTGGAGTTTATTCCCTTGTTTTCCTGGATAAGAGGAGTTATCGCTTCAGTGCAGAACAATGATAGAATTTACGACATTTGGAACAGAATGGTGAAAAATAGATTCAACTTTGAAAAACAAAGCAAGGAAACAGCCCTCCAAATGGAGTGTTACATAGAAATGAGGATTGCTTCTGTTGGGCACAGCTTAGTCCCAGAAGAGAAGCCAGAAGTGAAAGACGCAAGCGCTTGGACTCTTTTGAAACGTTAGGCTTAAATTATTTATTTTGGAGCAATCTGCTACATCTTTAAAGTAAAAATAACACAAACATTGGCAAGTGCATCAAAAATTGCTGCAATTTTCGTGAGCGTCATTTGGCATCAGGATGAAACACGCTTCACTGGGCTCACTAACTAGGCTTCATCAAAGTGGCTTTTTTGGGGTTTGTTTGCTGTTCTTCTTTCTTCTTGAGCACCTCTACCCTACCTCAACACACACAACAGATTCATTTTTAAACAAAACCAAAGAGAAACCATAAAAATGCATTTTTGAAAATTGGGAGACCCAAAATATGATAAAGGAAAAACCTTTTATTTCATCATAGGAACCCAGGCCTTCCACAAATCAGGCTTTGAACTTAAAGCCCAGAGATCCAAACAAAATAATGTTTTACCCAAGGATGCAGAGTTAGTTTTTGGACCCTGACCACAGCTTTCACGTGTGGACTGATAACATTAAAAAATAAAATAAAAAACTTTGAGCAATTTCTCCAATAGTTAAGGCATTTAGTTATATTTATTTATTCCTTCAACTAACATGTATTCAATAGCTCCTATGGGCTCCACATTGTGATAGGCGTAGAGATTCAAAATCAATACATGTTGTCCCCATCCTCAAGGGCCTTGTAATGTAATACTCAACAGAGTTTCTTCCTTGGGCTGAGGCTAAGAAGGGGACCAGGATGCCACCTTAACTTGAGACTTGGAGGTATTCTCATCCACTCTTTTGAGGATAACTCCTAGTATGTTCTAACTCACTAAAAGTAAGAGCATCCTTCTTATTGATTGATTATGTTTGGTTGGTTTTTTTTTTTTTTAGCATATCAGAGTTTAATAGTATCAAGGTGATCCTCTCTTGAGTAATATTTCTTACCTATACAGCATCCTGTATCGAAGACATTTTTAATTATCCTACTAATGCTCACCCTTTTCACAAGGCAAGATAATCATGGTAATATTCACTGGGAAATGTGTCCTTTTTGGTCTTTTCTACCGTCCTCCTAAGGGCAGAGGTATCTCATCTGGAGCTGGTGTCACAGACTGACAAGGGTGCAAAATTGGAATGGGGTGTGGAAAAAAGCATTACCAAAGTCAGTACACCAAGACGTTTCTAGACGAATCACAGGGAAGGCCTGGAAGGGCTAGGATAATGGGGAGAGACACCAAGTGGAGGGGTACAGGGAATTTCTGTTTTTACCTGAAAATGTTTTGACTATTTTAGAAGAAATGCCTGAAACTCAATCTAAAGCAGGGGCCTCATGTGATCCAGTTTCCACAAGGTGCTACTTTCAAGGAAGAATGAAGCAACTGAAAATAATTTTTAAAGTACTTATAAATTGTGTATCTCGGAAATCCCACAATATCATTTGATAAAATGTTTCTCTTCTTTTCAACCCTCACACTCAACCGTCTAGACCCTTGAGGGTGCAAACTATCTCACCCTCTTTTGTTCTCTAGCTAAAAATTATAAGGAGCTTCCTGTGCATTGTAGAGCTGTCTTATGACTGGATTGTGGGAGGTGTGTTTGTGTGTGTGTGAGAGAGAGAGAGAGAAGAGAACATTCTTCCAGAGAATTTCTGTTAAATTAAATTCTCCATCTCTTTTTTGGAAATATCCATAGAGCCTCACTGAGGAGAGACAGGATCTATATGTGCAGTTAACACAGAGTTCTGGCATATTTTAAAGTTTCAAATGATGAAATCTTGTTTCCTGTGGTTATCTGAGTCCCTTGGCTTTTTTTGTGATGGATCTTCTCGCCTCCCCATTACGTAAGATGTAGCATTAGCCTTGATCCTCCCTTTACACACCGGCTGAATCCGTGGTGCCCACTGACTCAAGTGAGCTCTGATAACTTTAATTATGGCATTCTTTGGGAAGAATTTTTAAGACGAGGACCCAAGGGTGGCTTTGGTTTCTGCTCCCATCTAGCACACTGATTGGTCTAGCCCAGAGTGGCTCATCCATTCTCTCTCTCTCTCTCTCACTTTTTAAGGTTTTATTTATTTATTTGACAGAGAGAGAGAGAGAGAGATCACAAGTGGACAGAGAGGCAGGCAGAGAGAGAGGGGGAAGCAGGCTCCCTGCTGAGTGGAGAACCCGATGTGGGGCTCGATCCCAGGACCTTGAGATCATGACCTGAGCCGAAGGCAGTGGCTTAACCCACTGAGCCACCCAGGTGCCCCGGCTCATCCATTCTAAAGGAAACACAGATGTATGGAGATCAACACTTCTCCAAAGGCTGGAAGTGATATACTTCCTGCTCACTTCCTATAAATAAATGGTACCTAAAGAAGATCCTGGGACCAGTGGTTCTCTCTATTGGAGTTAAAGGGTTTCCAAGTGTTGACTGGAGCTCTTTCAACAAGACTAACCTCAGACCCCTGTTTAGAAAGTAGGTTTTATTCTTTTGGTAGTTTGGGGCCTTTAAAATGGGAGGGTGTATTCTTCAAAGGCTTAATCATAGATGCTGCGCTGGTCTCCAGGGGCATCCCTTTGTTCTGGGAAGCATTGCCTTTCTCGGAAGCCAGCAGGAGGATGTATGTTCCCCATCTCATGTCTGCTCTGAATCTTCTCTCCCAGATGAGCTGATTTCTTTCCACAAATATATTAAGGCTGGCAGCCTGTGCTTATAACAGTCTGAGTCCGCTCTTACTCAAGCTGGTTTCCTTACCTACTCTGTCTCTCTCTTGCTCTTTCATTTTTATTGCCTGGGCAAAAGCGGTGACTGTAAGAACAGAACAAAACACAATGTACTGGCTTCTGCAGCCCACAAGCTCTCATCTCCATATTTCTGCCTGACCCATATCTATTTTTATACATCTGCAACTCTTCTTGGTTTTCCTCTGGTTTGGGCTTTCCAAACAGAGCTTTGCTCAAAGTTTGATTATTTGGACCCTTTCCTCAAGACTTCAACAGGAACTTTCCTGACACGGACCCAAACCACAAATCTTGGGTGGTTTTCAGGTATGATATAAAGAAGGCCTACTTCTGTTCATGCCCTCCTCCAAACCAGGTGGGACTTTAAAATTTGTTCCAGAAGGTGTAGCACTCACTCTGAAAATGGGGACAGCTCCTGGTACAAAATTTCCAAACACAGTTGAATGTTTGTCTCTTTTTCCCTCCTGAAGAGTTTATAAATTTGTTAACACAAATTGTGGCAATCAACCTGATACTTGAAGGACTTGTGGACATTTTTTAAAAATGAGTGTCAGGGGTAGAATTTAGTGATTCATCAGTTGCATACAACACCCAGTGCTCATTCCATCAGAAGCCCTCTAAAGGATTTGTGGATCCTTGAAGCCCATCCATAGATGCCCTTCAGTTTAGGAGCTATTGCACTTGACTAGGGGCTGCTAGTGGCTTCAGGCCAGTGGCAAGTTCAGGGGCTACTGCCTGCCTTTCTCAGAAGAAGCTCATGGAATAGTTTCCACACCTAGAACGACTGTAATGAAAGGAGAAGGATAGGAAACCTTCATTCTTTATCCCCCAAAGTCTTTGTCAAGTGTGTTCTGAGGTAATGACCATCACCAGAAGCTTCTTAGCAAATACCCATAATCCTTTGCATCTGTTATGTCTCTAAACATCTCAGAAATGGCTGGCCTTCACATCAAATGAAATGACTGCACATCTGTCTATTTTATCTGTAACTCATGGACATCTATAAATTTGCTGTTACCTAGTCTTCAATCAGTCTTAATTTTTTCTCATTGTTTTCAAACAGTAAATGTTACTTCCTTTTATAGTTCTTCATTTCATTTATTCTTTTTTTTTTTCATTCACTCAATGTGTATTTATCAAATGTTTATACGCCAGGCATTTAAAGATCACAAGCTATGATCCCTCTCTTTGAAGTGCTCACAGCTTGGTAGGGGCAACACTGTGGTATAATAGTTAAGGGGGCAGGTCTTAGAGGCAGACTGCACAGATGTAAATCCAAGCTCTACTATTTACTCTCTGCATGACCTTGCACAAGTAGCTTAGACTCTGTAAAGCATCAATTTTCTCATCAGAGTAATAAGGATAATTATTATATAATTATTAATATATAATATATATATTAATAATTATATAATAATTATTGTGATATATACATATGGATATGCAGTTCTCCCTTTGCATGGTAGTGTAGGACCATAAAAATGACCAAGCACAAAAATAAAGAGAAATAAAACCCAGTATATCACTAAAGAAAGTCAACAAACCCTGAGAGAAGAAAGGAACAGAGAAGAACTACAGAAATAACCATAAAACAAGGAACAAGATGGTAATAAATACATACCTGTCAATAATTACTTTGAATGTAAAT